TTAAAACAGTAATTGGCATACAAAAATTAACAAAAAATAGATAGATAAATTTTTTAGACACAGAATGTCCTGCTCCACAGACTGTATTTATTATTTATTATCCGGCATTTATGTGCCCATATATTTTTTTATTCGTATCAATAAAGCAAATATACATCTATTTTTCCCGAATTTTTTAATTTTTCTTGGCAAAAGTGATCGATACGCGATTATGCTATGAAAAAGTCAATATCTGATTTGAATTAATTTACGATCATGTAAAACGTTAATATGGAAGAGCAGAGCATAGAATCAAAAACTCATAAAACATTAACCCCTGGATATTTGGAGTGGTAAGCTAAAATTACTGTATCGCCAGGTATTTCGATAGATGAGATTCGTTCCAAGTTATATAGAGCGTATACAGAAGAGACTGGGCTCGATCCCTGGAAAAACGTTAACGTGAATAAAGACTTAACCCCAGAATATTTGGAGTGGCATGCTAATTTAATCGGATTGCCAAGTATTTTAACAGATAAGTTTCGTTCTAGGTTATATAAAAGATATAAGAAAAGAACTGGACTCGATCCCTGGATAAACTCTGAAGCTTCTGAATCTTCACAAACCGAAATTGATGAATTAGATTCGAAATTGATAGATAAGATTACTGAACTTGAAAAAGAAAACATCAAAATTAAAGGTGAGAATGCGGAGTTAAAACAGGGCATAGATGAACTTAAAAAAGAACTAGAATTTAAGAAAAATCGAAAATTTCAGGAGAAATGTATCCTAATAGCCCAGATACTTCTTAATGAGGAACCCATAGTTGAATATCGTACATCGTTTATGGAAGGATTAGAACTTGATGCTTTCTTCCAACGTCATCAATCGCATTAGAGGTGCAAGGGGCCCAACATCGACATCATCACACTAGCTGGTATAAAGATATTAAAAAACTTGAGGATATTGTTAATCATGATCGGAAAAAACGATGCATATGTCAAGATAATGGAATTTTTCTTATTAAGGTATGGCACAATGAAAATCCAGAAATTGTTATTCCTAAAAGGATACAAAAAGTTAAGGCGTTTATTTGTATAGTATCCAAAAGTATTGATATCCTATAATCATATAATCTTATAGCTCTAGGTTTAATTAGCAGATAAATATATTACAGATGTCAT